ATGTAGGGGCCTTATTGCTAGAACAGGGTTTTGGGGTACGTTTTACTGTAACCACAATAGAGACCCCAAAATAGTATAGGAACTTACTAGGGCCCGTATGGGAGTTTCCGAAAATTAAGGAACCTTATTTTGGGGTCCTTATAATAAGAATCCTACTATTTAGGGTACTATATTAGGGTCCCCTATTTTCGGAAACCTCCGTATAGTCAGCAGGGGCGAGCTGCGAAAATGACATTTGCCCCAAGCTCCAGGAACTCGATGGCATAAGCTGCGCGGGCGTTCGATCTCACACCACCGCCTCCGACGAGACATCAGGCCGCACGGTGCGGTTTAGGGTGTAGGGTTTAGGGTTTAGGGTTTAGGCTTTTAGGAACTCCTGGGTCTCCAGCTGCCTACATGACGTGGTTATTAACAATAACCCTAAACTGAGGGGCTGAGTACCCTAGCCCAAAAAATGTAAACCTTTTCAATGATAGTAGGAAAATATAGGGCCCCAAAGGTTAGAGGTTGTCTACTCAGCCCCTAAGTAAACCCTCAAGCCTACTGTTTGAGTAATTGGAGCCGTAAGAGCTCTTGGAGTGCCTGCCACCGATGCTGCTAGGACGGTTTAGGGTTTAGGGTTTGGACAATCCAGGCGAGGCATGTGGTTTTAGGTCGGAACGGTGAAACTCGCATTGAAGGAGATGGGATGCTGAAAAACAATGAAACCCCTTAAATCTAAAGACCTGCTAGTCAGGACATGTCCCCTCCTCTCAACCCAACATCCAGCATTCTGTTCGGTTTGGGCTTTAGGGCTTAGGGATCCTTTCCATGATGTTTGTGCCTGTGGTGCGGGCAGTTACGACAATCTGTTCTTCTGGCTGCGGCATGGAGGGTACCGTTCCCAACAAGGCTGCCTGCGGGGCCTGAGGCTGTGGGCCTCTAGTGTTTAGGGTTTCAGGGTTTAGGATTTAGGGTTTCAGGGTTTCAGGGTTTAGGGTTTAGGGCTTCAGGGTTTCAGGGTTTAGGGTTTTTTGTTTAGGGTTTAGGGTTTCAGGGTTTGGCTTCTAACGGTTCCACGCAACAGACAACGACTAGCAACAGCGACAAGCACCCCAGTTGTCGTCGTCGCAATGAGCGTCTAACTCTAGGAAAGATGGAAGCACTACATCGACCTGAAGCTACTTATGGATCACCAGCTCCATCCCCTAACCACCGCTGCTTCTGCTGGTTTGCTCTGCGACAGTCTTCCCTATCAAGCCGAGCCTCCCACCACACCTTGCCCCACCCTACAAGCAGACCTGATCCATACGTCAACCCACTAAAGCCAACTTTTTTGTAGGTTCCTCATTGTAAACCATAATAAAGAATTTATAAGGACCCTACAGAAATGTAGGTGTTGGTAGGTTAAGGTATAGGAAACCACAAAACCCTGATAAGCCTCAAACCCTTAAACCCTTAAAACCTACACCGAAGATCAGAAACCCTAAGCCCTAATAAGCCCCGAAGCCCGAAATCCTTCAACCCTGAACCGAAGCGCAAGGCTTCAGGTTCAGGCCATGCGACCCAGACATCCCCTGTCGTCTGCAGACCTTCAAAACCAAACTCGCCTACTATAGGGGCCTTAATAATTAGAAAAGGGTTTTGGGGAATGTGATACTGTAACTATAATCAGGAGCCCCCAATATGGTATAGTAGGTAAAATACCTTCAGGGTTATTCCAAAACCCCAACAAGAACCTCCTGCATCTTGACTTGAACTAGCCCCCGCCATGCAAAACTGTCACAACCGAAAGACGAACCCTGCGGCCTTTGTTCCTTCTGTGTCACGACGTGCACAAAAACCACTACATGACAGATAACCTACTGCCTCGTGGGTAATCCCCCCAAGGCTCTGACCCTAAACCCTTGACACGAGTTGAATCTGGAGCTCTCCTGCGCAACAGAAACCCCTAAAATCCAGACACATCCCAAACCCATCTCAAACCCCAAAGCCTAAACCCTAAACCCTAAACCCTAAACCCCAAAGCCTAAACCCAAAGCCACCCTAGGAGCCGGTCCTTCTTCTTCAGCTTCCTTACCATCCTTCGTGCTGGGCCGCACGAACGCAGCATTTCGAATACGCTCCAACACGACGTGCGGCATCAAGAAGCCTCTACCTCGCCGAAGAAAGACGAGAGCTTGAGGGTTGTGCCCTAAACACTAGACCCTAAACAGCTTAGGGGTTCTGAGATTACGATAAACCGAGAGAATGTAAGAGCTGCACAAGAAAAATCAAGAGCATAAACTACCGTTTAGCGTCTAGGGCTTAGGGTTTATGATCAGGCTCCCGTGTTCAAAGAAGGTAGCCAGAGCAAGAAGCTACAAGTGAGGGTCTAGATCTACAATATGCCACAGAAATATATAGTATTCCATAATACTCTATAAACCCCTAGATGAACTCTGATTTGAGGCTTCCGGACCAGGAACTAGACATTCACTTCGTGAATCTGAAACGGTCTCGCGGAGTCAAGTCTAACAGTCTGACATTGCATGACCTTACTCAGTAGGGTTTAGGGTTTAGGGCTCAGGGTTCAGGATCCAGTGGCTTGGTATGGAGGGTTATACTTGCATTCAGCGTGGTATCCTTTTCATAAGCCTCCCTATATCCCACTGACTCATTCCGCGGACCCTTAAAGCAATTCTAGTCGAACTCGGACGAAGGAATGGGCAAACGCCAGTAAAGCCTCACGTTGCCGTTCAACTTCGTGCAGGATTAGGAGGCTTCGTGAGCAGCATAACCGGGGCTATAAGTAGCCTCCTTCGTGGCACCCTGATTACAGCACTACTTGTTGCCGCCTTTGCATGGACCTTCACCGGATTTCAACTCCTGGATACAGATATGCAGCTTGCTCTGAGCATTTCTGCGCAAAGTTCCTGTTCCCGTATCAAACTAGATGCTCTTGTTGACATAGCTGCAGCAGCCCTTCACCGAACCTTCATTTCGAACAGCCCTCCCCCAAAACCCTGAACCCTATAGCCCTCCAGTGCTTAAACCCTAAACCCTAAAGCCTAAACCCTAAACCCTAAACCCTCCAGTGCTTCGGAATCGCCACATTGAGTGGGACTTTCTGGTCCCGGCGGAAAGCCCCCGGCTTTGTTCAGCTGGGAGCCACAAGGTCTACAGCACGCAAGCTTTTGTTGTTCAATACGGCGGCCTTAATCAACAAATGTAGGGTCTCTTCAAGGGTTCCTCAAACGGGCTCTACAGGGCTTGGGGGCTGTAGGGGCCTTAAGAACTCGCAACGGGTATTAAGGAAAGTTAAGTATTCTATGAAAATGACAATGAAGAGCACATTAGATTGAAATGATAATGCGGAACCCGGCGGAACCCCAAAGCCCCAAAAAGAATACACTTTGTAATTACCTAGGCCCCGAAACCAAAGTCCACGGCTGCTGCAGGGCTTTGATGGCCGGAAAAAGGGCTTCATGCAGGCAACTGGAAGAATGCAGGCTGCAGGGTGTCCCTGGTTCTGCGTCCACAGCTTGTGGTGGTTACGGCGATTACGGTAACAAAATTAAATTAAAGCAATAAGCTCAAGAGTTACGCGGTTGAAGTCCCTCGATCTGAACGCCCTAGATTCCCATTGTCAGACATCACGACTGTCGGCAACAAAACAGCAAAACCACCGCTGACCCGAGATCCTTGAAAGGCTGACTCCTTAGGAGCATCAGTAGTAGCAGCAGCAGCAGGAGTGGTAGTAGTAGTAGTAGTAGTAGTAGTAGTAAAGTAGTAGTAAAGTAGTAGTAAAGTAGCAGTAAAGTAGTAGTAGTAGTAGTAGTAGTAGTAGTAGTAGTAGGAGTAGCAGTAGCAGTAGCAGTAGCAGTAGCAGTAGCAGTAGCAGTAGCAGTAGCAGTAGTCGTCGCACTGAGGCAAGCTGTCCAGCTCCGTCCCAGCTGCTTCGAGCACTGGCTCCTGGGACATGCGTGGGGTTTGCAGGGGTTCACTGCCGTTTGGGGGCTTGACACGGAATTTCAGGAAGGTCTCCAAAAACCCAAAGCAGCACAACGGCAAGCACTGAACACGTGGGCAAACAAATCCTAAATCTCAAAAACGACAGAATTCTGTTTCGGTTCTCAATGCTTGGGCAATCCGGGCCAGGCGTTCGAGTAGACGTGTCCAACTAGCTGGGGCTTAGGGACTTTAGGGGCTTTAGGGTTTACGGCTGAAGGTTTAAGGAGTTTAGGGTTAAATGTCAAGCGCTCCAACTCGAATGTAAACTACAACAGAACAGAACAGAAGGGATGACAAACCGAACCTCCTACACATAATCGCTTGGTCTACTAGAAGTAGGAACCTGAACACAGCCGAAAGAGGAATTGTGATCCAAACATAACCACAGCCAAATTTCCGGAATCTCAGCTCTGAGCCCTAAACACTAAGGCCCGCAAGCGCCCCACCACACAAGTTATAGGTCCTCTTAGGTCTCTCCAAGGATCCCTTGTACCCTGCCCCTTTGAACCACCCTCCCCTAAAAATCCCATAATCAAGCAGAGTCTCGTCACGGCAGCTCTGGCGCACGAAAGCGGCGTGTGCGGCCACCAACGCCGCCACGTGACGAGGGTCCGGACCCAACTCCCTCGGCTTAGAACCACCATTAGGATGGCTCCAATGCCCCAAACCCTAAATCCCAAATCTTAATCCGCATGCCTCTGGGCTCAAGTCTAGCCAAATCCAGTCACCGCTCTGAAAACCCTGATCCCTAAACGCCCTACCCGAAAGCCCAACAGCACCACGGCCACCAAGCTCCTAGTGGTCCTAGTGCAGTCCCGAGGCTGTCGGGCCACAAATTTGCAAAAACCGATAGCTTCCAAAAACAATCTACTTGTATAACTCTAAGATCTGGAAAGGCCTACATGCCTGAACGAAAGTTGTTATACTACACTGCGATAACCATCTTTATCATTTTTGCTACTGCTATACTACCATGTTTCCTATTATAATGATAGCCCAGACCCAGCGATGTGAGTCCGGCCAGGCACTCGCCCGTCGCACTTCCTCTGGAGGCGAGGCAGCGGAGCGTGTGCTGCTGCAGTTCTGGAAGAACCTGGTCCAGAGCGTGTTGGGGTCGTAATTTTCAGGTCAGATATTCGTTCATAGGTGTTTGCAAAAGTCTACACAAGGTGTCATAAAGATCTCGGTCGTTAGTAATCAGACAAGTTTTCGGGTATACGACCCTACAGCTGTATCATTGGGGATCAAGGGAGATAATAAGGTTAAAAAGGAACCCCAATCGTAAGAACCCCTCAATACTAAATGGCAGGATCCATATCGTAGAGACATCGAAACTGAAGGGAACGCGTGTTAGGCAAACCCTCATAAAGTATACTTTTACCCGCTTATCCAGCATCATGGGGAACTGAGGGTGAACCTTTGGGATTATGCAGGGGTTATAGTACACCCAACAAAATAGAAGGCTACCTTTGCTACTAGTAAGTTCAACTCTTCAAACAAGCCCAAGACATTCGCAGACCCCCGTCTGCTTTCCAGTATACAGACAAAAAGCCAGTCCAACACACAGCAAAATACACAAAACACACCAAAAACACGACAAACCAAGACAGTTCACACGCAACAAAAGACAGAACCGGCCAACACACGAAATCCTAAACCCCCAGCCCCGAAACCAGCGGACCCTAAACCCCTAAACCCCTATGTAAACCTTTAAAACCTGAACCCGAAAGCCCCTAAGCCGTAAACCCCTAAACCCTAAACCTCTAAACCCCTGAACCCTAAACCCCGAACCCTAAAGCGCCTAAGGACTCAACCCCTAAACCCTAAACCCTAAACCGCTAAACCTCTGAACCCTCAACCCTAAACCCCTGAACCCTAAACCCTTGAACCCTAAACCCTTGAACCCTAAACCTCTACACCCTAAACCCCTGAACCCTAAAACCCCTGAACCCTAAAACCCCTGAACCCTAAACCCTAAACCCTAAGCCTCCGGACAGCGAAGCCGAGCCAGGCCGGAGAGACCCGAGGCAAGGTCGATGAGCCCTTTCATTCAAAGGGTACAACCACGGTTTGGGGTTTAGGGTTTGGGGTTGGCATAAGTGACATAAAACCACATAATGCAGCTTAAAATAACATAACTAGTGCAGGAACAGAATGTCATATCCCCTCATATCATATCTTGTCGTGTGGTAAAATATACGATGGCAACAAATGGTAATAGCATTTGTTATTACTCTGTATATGTATGTATGTATGTATGTATGTATGTATGTATGTATGTATGTGTATATATATATATATACTGACACTGTATTTATCGAGTATGTATGTGTTTATAACATAGGACAACATACATACATAGAGCAGTGAACTATGGCATAGCCTGGCATGGTACAGTATAGTATAGTAGATTTCAGTGCAGCATAATCTAGTATAAGTATGGTGATATATACTTCGCATAGTAGAATATAGCGGGCTTGATGATTAGAACAGGGTTTGGGAAGGTTCCATTTCGGGGGTTACTTTAACGGATGCCGTTTTCCACTAGAGTAGGGCCTCTGTAGGGTTTCTCGTGGGTTCTATTTTTGTTGTCTTCCAAGCAGTGTAGGGTTTAGGGTTTAGGATTTAGGGTTTAGGGCTTAGGGTTTAGGGCAGCAGGAGTCAGGGTTTGGGGTTCCAGAGAGCCCAAGAACCCTGACATATTCAGGGGTTAGGGTTTCAGCGCTCACTCTCGGACTTGCCTAGGCGAGGTTCCTGGTACGAGGCGTAAGCACATTGGCCATGCGAAGGGTTTAGGGGTTTGGGGTTGAGGGTCTATTGGGCTCTCTGGGTATGAGGTGGGGCTGATGGTCTCGACTCTCTGGCTCCAAGGAGTATATAGGAGGGCGTTCGACCCGCTTCAGGTTTAGCGCTGCGGGGTTTTAGGAGCTTTTTTGGATGTGCTGCTTCGGGGTCTATATAGGGTTAAGGGCATTTAAGGGCTTCTTCTAAGCGCGTTCTTACTATGGCGTTTGAGGAGTGGTGCTTTTGGGTTTGCGCCGTTCAAGCACAGAGGCAGAGTTTAACATGGTCCATGCTGATGTGTCGGTTGCCGTTCAGCGGCAGGTTTGTACATGGGCTGTATCTTGACCTTCGTTTTTCAAGGGGCCTGGGCTTATGAGACTTAGGGTTTATGGCGGGCTTCAGTTTGGTCTTCTCATAAATCTCTGCCGGTTTCTGTAGGGCATTGTTTGTTTTGCGGGGGTTGTTGTTCTGGAGGGTTCGTTCTTTTTTGGTTCGGGATTGCAGTGCATGAGAAGGCTCGCAGGACTTACAGGAAAAGGTTCAGGCATCCATAATATGGGGGTTCCGAGAATTAGGGGACCCTACTATAGCACCCTAATTAATAGGATCCCTGTGATAAGGACCCCAAAAAAAGGTACCCTAATTTTCTGAAACTCCCATATCGGGCTTAGAAGCTGACAGAGTGTTTAGGGGTCTTTTTTCCCTCCCACCTAGCAAGGACGAGCCCGCCTTACAGGGTTTTGGGTTTTCGGTTTAGGTTGTCCCGCCGGTGCTCTCACGTTTCGAAGCACTAGATGGTAAGGCGTAGTATTGACGTCGCAACTACTCACACGAATGGTCCCATAGGCCGCATATTCCGGAAATCACACGTAAGATGCGTCTGAACAGGATCGTGCTGAAAAACACTTGCCAGTACAAGGCCAATTGCCGCATGATGTCAAGTCGTGTAACTGTGGTTCGTCATGACATTCAGCAATTCTTCCACGAGCCCACCCCCTAGTCCCTTAGGTCTAAAATGCCCTAAACCCTAAACCCTAAACCTTAAACCCTAAGCCCTAAATACCAACATGTCTAGCTGCGTGTTCAGAGCTCGGCTCCGGAGCACCAACCCAACCATCCGCAACAGACTAGGTCCCAAGCCTTAACCTGCACTAGACTACCCTAAACCTAAATCTTGAACTCGAAACCTGTAACATTAAACCCTGCCTATAGTCTCCATTGTAGATCCTTTTAGGGGTTACGTTATAAGATCCTAAATATAAAATTGGTTAAACCAAAAAAGGGAACTACAATGGAGACTATGGATAAATTTCAAAGACCGGAGACGGAGATTTACCCCTGCAGCTGCAAAAGCGGGCGCAGCCGCCGTGGCCGTGGCTCGCCAGCACTCGATGCTAGGGGCAGCCTTGCTTCGGGTTTTAGATTGGCCCAACGGTTTTAAAGGTTTAGGGTGTTGATGTAGGGGCCTTAAAAATTTCGAATCGGGTTTTTGGGCTCCTGTCTAGCATACCTATAATAATGAGGAAGCCTATGAATAAAACAGGTAATCATTTAGCCTTTCATATTACAGTAGGGTTTAAGGCAAAAGGGGGCTGGCTTAAGGTTCCAGGTGTGTTGGAAGTAGGTTATAACTCGGGTCGTGGGCGCCTAGTTGGGATTGTCACAAGTACAACGCCTCTTGAAGCCCACTGCTTCTGTCCTCTGAGTCCTGCTTTGCTTCCCTGGGCCTTAAACGCCACAGCCGAAACCCCAAAGCCTAAACCCTAAACGCCAAAGCCTGAACCCTGAACCTTAAACCCTAAACCCCAAAGCCTGAAGCTTGCAAACTCTAAGAGACCAGGCCCAAGGTTAGGGGCCCTAAACCCTAAACCCTAAACCCTAAACCCTAAACCGTTACGGTTAGGGTTTTCAAAGCGCGTTGGAGAGAGGGTGTTTTGCTTTTTCCCGCCTCGCATGCCTGAGATCTATGAGAGAGGGTTTAAGGTGTTTTTGCCTCCTACTTACCAAGGACATGCCCGCATTAAGGATTTGGATTTGGGGTTTAGGGTTAGGGCTTTTATGGTGTAGGGTTAGGGTTTGGGGTTGAGGATTTTTAACGGTTTTTGTTGATGCTCACTCTCGAACAATGCCAGGACAGGTCTGGAGACTGTACCGATTCGTCGTTAACAAAGCTGTATTAGGTCGGTTTCAGGGTTTAGGGTTAAGCTACTACGACGTTGAAACAACATAAAGTTACAAGCCCAACAGAACAACCCTGCAAGCATTTTTTTTGCATCAGGGCTTGTGCGATCGCCTGAATGTCTGAGCCTACGGAAGTTCTGCAAGCACTCTTAAACACCCTAACCCCTCCACCCGCAACTCTAGCGCAGAAGCCCCAATAACCGGTAAAAGCAGCCTCCTTTGTGCGTCGCCGCTGCCTGGCAGCCTCTGACACTGAAAGGCCCAGAGTCAAGGAATACACCTGAATGCGAATTCCATGTCTAAGGATGTTCTACCACAAAGTCTCGTAAGGCTTAAAGCATCATCATGAATCAAGCATCTTTTCCTTTCACCACAACATCTCCACCTCGCCCCGTGCTGCCAGCTTCCCCAGCGCATCGAGAAGCAAGGAAGCCGCGGCGGCCTGCCATCCGGCTTTCGATTTAGGGTTCGGGGAGTGCAAGATTTACGGTGTGTGTGCGTGTGTGTGTGTG